TCAACTGAGGACATGAAGGATTCTTATTGCCCCTGCTTCGTTATTGGAGCTACCAGCGTTAAACTAATGTAAGTATCACTGAGGTATGCCGTGCTAGCAGTTCTTTCAGTTTCACTATATTGACACGTCAGTTATAGCTGTTAAAACTGATTATGTTCTAACCGACTAGGAATATTCTTTGATTGCATGCCTGTAGAATTAATCTAACGTTTAGAAAAGAAGTCTCTCTTTCGGTAGGAGGGCGCTTTCCTTTGTGGATAATTGGAAACAATCAAAAAGAAAATGTAGACAAAGTATTCAACTTTTAACAGTCACAAACTGAATATACCGAACTTACCTTTTCGTCCCCGATGCCTGATACGACAGTGATGTCTTCCACAGTGATGAGAGAAGCCAGTAAGTTGGCCGTGTACGAGCTCACTAACACTAGGGCTGCAAAGTTCGCTACTACCATCACAACAGGAACGGAGTAAGTCTTGGCCTGAATTTTCGTGAGTGGTACATGAAATATGTTACCGTAAACGTAAGCCACGAATTCGAAGGGTAAAAGATACGGACTTCTATGTTCCCTGTAATAATACACTTTCTCTATTCCCCATACGGTTATTGCAATGGCACAGAAAGCTGCTAAACATGTAAACCACAACTCCATGCTAAAGGATTTCATAAGTCGCATGTCGCTTATTGTTTGCGCAAAATTTCTAGGCCTCGATTTAAACCGCTTGACCAGGAACTTCAGCGAAGTTCCGATGTAAGGAGTCGTGAAACCGACGTACTCCGAACGCTCTTCGGTGATCGTAATCACTGCGAGAGCAAGATCGGCAAATCCTCGGTAAACATCGCCGATCATTCCGTTCATTTGTTTGGTGTCCGGGTCCAGGGATCCATATTTTCCATCCTTGACTAGGTAAAGATCGAACGAGAACTCTTCAGTTTCTAAGATTTTTAACAAAATGTCGATCATAACACCGTAACAGCACAGGATTTTCGAGGCACCTTCGCTTTGTTTCCACAATCCTCCGTGAGCCGTGTTTGAGGAAGTGTGGCTGCCGTTATTGAACTCTCTACAAGGGACTGTGTTAGCCGGACAACTCGTACCCAGTCTACTGCTGTAATAGACGTCGTGGATCGCTGTGAAAGGCTCGTGTTTAATGGTCACTATTCTCAAGTGGCGCGGCTTGGGTAGGTCCTTTGGTAAGAAGGCCTTTAGATTATGTGGGCCGTCATCATGGATCCATTCTGGACAAGCATGTCCCATGACGTGCCAAACTTGTGCCTCTTCGTGCTGTCGCACGGCCTTGACGATGGTAAATCTGAATGAGGTTCGTTCCCCGTTGCGACTGAATTGGACTGGTCCCGTTTGGCCAGGGAAACTCTGACATACCATTTCCCTGCAAAATATGTCAATGTCGATGAATTTCATAGCGCAACCTTCAGACGTATACTTCAGCGTTATAATCTAAGGTGCAACTTATTAAATCACGTGATCGCCTTGAGCATATACTACAAGTGCACCCAAATGGACAAAATTATGGAGAAAAAGCGTCAGATTATCTATCACTATCAAACTATCCGAAACATCCTCGACGTAGACTAAAATTTGGGTTGAGTAAAATGAGCCACTGGAAAATCACTGGAATAATAAAATTTTTTGAGAGAGATTTTCATGAGCTATTAATATGTTACTCCGAATGACGTTATATTTTCAGTTGTTGCGCAAAACGCCCAATCCATTTGACACACCTTGTGGAGGCCTGTAATCTAGTCCACCCTTAACTTAACATGGTTTCAGTTTAAGATTTTTGTTAGACGACACACGCATTAATAATCCATCAAATATTTTCGCTCGAGCACTATTGGTCTGAACGCATCACGTGATTGAATATGCCCCTGCTAAACCTAAGGAATATTCGAGTGATTTTCCCCAATTTTCAAAACTGCGTGTGTTGCAAAAAAAATATTTGAAGGATAATGAACACAGTAGCCTCTACTTGGTGCGAAAATATGCTCGGATATTTGTTTCGATTTGTCCTTGGACATTATCTGTTCCTCAAAGCTCACAGTTTTTTCCCCGAGCTACGCTCTCGAAAAACTGTTCGCTTCTCGGAACAGATAATGTCCGCGGACAAACATCTAAGCATATTTTCACGCCAGTTGAGGCTATTTTTTTATATATATATTCATTTATTACCTGTAAATCTGCCTTTTGTGAGTGGTAAAAAGCTCCCCCTTCAGACGTTCCAACTTTGTTCTGTGCGTTAAGCCAGTGACCGCGTTCATCAAACCGTTGGCAAATAGTTTCACCGAGTCTTCTAACAGTCTTTTGTATAACGTTAACATACTGGCATTTCCAATCCCTTGAGCGATTTCTATGCCAAATGAGCCTTCGGGAAAAGAACTTGCGTCCGCAGTAACAGCTTTATCAGTGAAAATCCACACAAAATCTTGTCCCAGCAATTTAAACCTGAATTTTCTCGCGAGCGCTATTATGGCAGTACTCTCATTGCTCTTACAGTGTACAACGAGCACCCGCACGCCGCTTGCACTGATGGCTGCTAATCCAGCGCTGAGTTTTTCCATCAGATTGTCTTCTCTGAGAATAATGCACCTTGGTGAGGCCGCTTGTCGGCCATTGTTTACCGTGTAGTGGGCGAGATTAGAAAACAGGGCATCGTTCCGTGATGTTTCAGTTGTGATACAAGCGAACCGACTTTCCTCGAATTCTAGCATCAATTCCTTGATGACAGTGGCTTGTAAAGCATCTGTCGGAAGCATTGACAGATATAAGGCACCTTCCTAGTGAGCAAAGAAGAACATGCATTTTTAAAGTTTTATTTGTAGACTATAGAGGAAAGGCCCGGTTCCCACCGGAAAATCCGGTTTTTTTCTTATAAATGGGATGCGCTCCTCGTTTCAATAGACTAAATGTGGTTCTTAGTCTGGTCTAAATTCATATTTCCTGGTGTTCACGATTTCTTTATCGTTAATTTTTACTGGAGCTACAAAGCTCAAACGTATCGAAAAAGTGGATCAAAGTCTTAAGCCTGATGATGAAGCTCTGGTGTGTGACCTGCAAAAGAAATCTTTTGAGCAGCACTTCCATGTGGTACTGGGAATATAACGTTGAGTTTGCTGATGAATCACTGGTGTGCGACCATTCAAACAAAGAACGTCATCGTGTTTAAGGTTATTCCCCAGTATTGC